CAACAAATGAACGACTAACCATGAGAGAACGGAACGAAGCAGAACGGAAAGGTATCTGGACCCGGCCATGCTGCAAAAAGTCAAACATGGCCATTTGTTGCAGGTTTCAATTTCAGTTGATTGCATACCCAGAAAAAGACTGAAGCAGGGGGGAAGAGGGAAAGTAGGGGCCTTCAATGCCTTGCCATTTGACGAAGAAACTGTTGTAGATATTTGGACGTGCAGTCGAGTGCAAAAAAGAACACAGACGGACGGAATCTTTCCGTCTCTTTAGTGCTCAGACATATGTAGAGCTCACATACAAAAATTATAAGGATATGCACTACGTGAAGTCAATAAATAAAACAGTTGTGTACTCCCGTCCCAAAATAAAAAGGAGGAAGCAGGAGCAGTAGCAGCAGAAGTCTTCACACTGAGAGGAAAACCCAGCTATAAAATAACTGAAAATGAGTATTTAGTTCTAACAGATCACGAGTCAATACACTATTTCCCTTTTAAGACCTAGGATCAGGATTTTTTATCTATTTTTTCAGTGTAGCATTCTTGGAAAAGGCAAAGACGACGGCTGGGAACAAACACGTTAATTTAATACAAATGCGCTTAGGTGCGGGTGGAAGGATGGCTCGCTCTGCTCCTGGGCGGGATTTATGCCAAGCGACGCTTTTAGTCTTGGTCCCAGCAACAGCTGCTGCAGAAGCAACCCCACCACCGCCGGATAAGGCGCCTGCCACTGCAACAGCTGCGCTTACAAATGCTCTTGCATAAAGTCGTTTCTGCATCTTGGTCTGCTTGCCCAGCATTTTTGCAATAATTCTCAGCCGAACCATCATGGTTACTTAATTTGCTTGGGCCAAAATAAACATTGGCATAGAGTGGACGGAATGCAGTGGAAGTGTCTTTTCATTGTACCTCTAATCAGAGGTCCCTTCGGGCTGGACCATAAAATTGTGATTTATATGCATTGCACTCGTAAAGACATTTAAGCAATTCCCACAACTAAAAGATAAGATTCTCGAGTAAATTCTTTGCATACTTCCAAGGGCACAGTTGCTTTATCAATATGAGAAACTGTACGACAGAACATACAATAAAACCAGAAGGCACGAGGAATTTTCTAGCTTCTACCGAGTGCATTGCTATTTTTGCACTAAAGATGAGAGATAGAGTTATCTCTAGTGAGAGCAATAAATTATGTTTGATATTAAAATCAACTGAATGTTAATAATATTTTACAAAGACAATCAAATGGTGTTCGTGTCCTTGGTGTTGCTGATTCAGCACTTGTATGTCGCAGACTTTCTCTAGTGGCACCACCTTCTCCTTCTCTTGCCATATGTGCTACCACGGCTCAGAATTTTGGTATCTTTTTCTGGGGTACTCTTTGTGCGTTTGTGCCAACTACAATAATTTGTTGCATAATATCCTTTGACAGGATACACTTTCGTTAAGTTTCAAGGAATTGAGTTGCCTTATAAAATATCCCAAAATTGTTTTTGGCACTACTTGGAAGTACATGCCAAAAGTTTTCCCAGTTAGCACACTCCAGCACTGCCAGAAATTTTATCTAAGGCCCACCCAAGAGCTGTTTTCTGCCAAAACCTCTTCTTGTCCCCACTTCCAGACTGCCACTATTTTTTGTTTGTTTATGGCTTGTCCCAATAAACAACATTTATGCATGTTTACAATTTAACATGCTGGGCGCACATGTGTAAAAAAACAATTTGTGCGGTATTGCGACAGGAGCAAAAAGCGGGCCCAGGTCCCAGGGCAAAATAGGCAAACAAGCTTTGGCGGCTGCTTCAAAATTGTTGCTTTTACTTGGAAGGTAGCCAAGGAACAAAGACTACTGCTACTGCTCCTGTTCAAGCTGTTCCTGCTGTTCCTGCTGCTGTTGTTGCATTGGTGGCCACAATTGCGAGCCGCTTGCGGCAAGGACATGGCTAGGAAATCGCGTGCATGTTTATCATTTTAATGATGAGGCACTGGGGAATAAAATCCTGCGTGCACAGAGTTCTTTTATCATTTAATGAGCTGTAATCGCTCTTAATTACCCCAAAGAGTGAGTTCTTTCCACATACGAGTATATGCATTGTATGGGGGCCATTAAAGCTGTTCCAATTGGGCCACTGGCTGCGCTGCAGCACTTCCACCACTTCCATTTTGGTGTGCAAACGTGCGTCTATAATGGTTTTATCTGTGTGTCTGCAGTTTTTTTTTTGCTATCGTCAAAGGATATGCGTGCTTGTGCATCCTTCGTAGGCTGCGTGTCGTGCATGGCATAACAAAAGACCACCAACTTTTTCCTCCCACCAAACTCCAAATGAATTTTTTCCCTATTCTTTGCGTTTCTTTCTTTATAATCAAAGTGTTAGCTTTGTCAAAAGTTTGGGACCCTTTCAGGCACCGGCCTTTCTGGAAAACTTGCAATTTAATTATGCTAATTGATACTACGGCATTTTCAATTGATGAACAATAACACATGAAGGTAAACAAAGTTCTTGGAGGTAGCCGCCTGGTGCTTCCTTGGGCTTGGGCATCTGGGAAATCGAAATTTCCCAATGTAATTATCGACTGTAAGCGTTTCTTCGGTAATTTGTTTTCTTTCTGTTTAAGAAAATTTCGGAAAATTACTTTAAGGATGTAGAAATGTGCAGCCCTTCCGATAAAAAATGTGAAGGTGGATGCCGATAGGACTTCATGTGCTGTCTCTGTCTCTGATCAATACAAGTCCAAGCTTCAACTAAAATGTTTCCAGATTCACATGTTGTAACTCTTTCCAGACAAGCGAATCCAGATTCTGTTGCCAAACAGACCGTTGCTAATCGGTCGTGTCGAGATAAACCTATAACAAATTGGGGGTCCACTGATCTACAATTCAATCTAAGCAATATTTTTTTATTGAATGGATAGAACAAAATAAGCGACTGAGTAGAGGGCGGAGCAACCCAATGGAGCAACTCAGCAATGCAGTAAATCAGGAACAATACAATAATGCGCGCACATGGAGTTGATGGCATTGGCATATAGTTGGGGGTTGAGTCTGGTTTTTTTTAGTTTCTCAGGAATGATATCTTTTAGCAGGGTCTCCATTTCTTGTATGTGCTGCTTTTCCTCATCCGATGGATTATATTTCCTTAAGGTATCGCGAATCCCACAGGAAACGGCGAACAGTTCTGGGATTCGAATTTTGGGTAATTTTACAATGTATTCCTCAGGATTGGTAAATTCTTCTTTTGATGATTTGGAACCTGCAGTGCGCCATTCGCCTAGAAAACCTACAAGCTTACAACTCAATGATAACAGGTTGGACTCAATATTCTTCATCCTAGTTCCTATAGTAGTTTCGTTTCGTTGCTTATTTTGGATTAGCCGCACGGATAGCGAATTTTCAAGGGCTTTTGTATATTCCACCAACTGGCATGTACTATTGCAATTATCCTGTCCAAAGATCATTGGCGTGCCCAGCAATGCTTTATTTGTGGAGATTTTTAGTAGGCATCCACTTGGTATCTAATATCCAACTCACCCAGAAAGAGCACAGGTAAAGGTAAGAGCCGCATTGTCTTGGAAAATGTGCACATTTTTGCTTTGCAGTCACTTTAATAATATTTATTGGCGATTAGTCAAGCACTTCTAGCGTACTCGTATAATATCCATGGCAAAATGATTTAGTTTCGATGCGGTTCCAATCGAATGACAAAACGGAATTCCACCGATTGTGGGAATATATCCCCGTCATCTCTCTTCGCTGTTAGTGAAATTATAGTGGAAAGCCTTTCCATTTTTCGTTCCCACTCCGAGCATTACTGTAGCAATAAAATGGGTAATTTTCGAAGGAATGGAGCAAGGAGCTGCCCTGCTCTGTTCTGCTTTGCCTTATGCATATCAAAACTGGAATCGGCATGCCAAGGCATTACAATCAATTACTTATGCATTAGCTTAAATTGTCACATATGCAAGAGATACATAGATACATACATATACACATGTACGACACCCCATACTGTGAACACAAACGAACGAATGGATCCCTTTTGGGCCGACTGAGTGCCGTCTACGTCTGGGGTCTCGTCTTTCGAGTGAATTCAATTGAATCACAAGTGGTCTATGCAATTAGTTGTAATTGGTTCTTGAAATAATTTATTTCATGGCTTTTTGTCGCCAACTCTATCCTCTATCCCCGACCTGAGGCTGGTGGATACTACGTGCAAGTTTAACAAATTGCAAATTTAATCCTGATTTCAGCAGAGGTATTTCAAAGTCTCTACTGCTTAAATTAATTAGAGCAGATTTTACACTTTAGTCCTGATTCAATTTAAGGCAAGAGCAGGGCTGCAGAGCTCGCTTGTAATCAATTTTCCAAGGAAATCTGCCACAATTTTCACCAGGTTTTGTGGGCAGGACACAGACATATACACACACACACAGTGAAAGGAAAATCATTCTTTATCAGCATCTCTTCTGGTTTAGTCTGACTTATTTACGAGTATTCTTCCTCCATTTGCCACACAATTATTCTGTTGGTGTTGGTTCTAGTGCTCTGCTGCTCTCGCTGGCAAATAATTTAGTGGGTGCACTTTGATGGCTGCTGCATGATGCATTCGGCACTCATCTTTGACCTGCGCCTGCACCTCCGCACTGTACACCCAACCTAAGTTCCCCAGGTGATATTAAAATTTCGTACTTTGCAAATAAACACTGGGAGGAGTTGGCAGGGGCAGAGCCCCTCCTCCTGTTGTAGTTCTTGCCTCGTTGCTAATTCCACGAAATCGAAGAATCATCTAACCCTGATGCTGCCAAATCGGGGACACCTGCAGTGTGGGTAGCTGCCTGTCATTTTGTTAGTTTTTCGCGCCGCTCCAAAGCCACTTGTGTGCCTGATCAGCACTACTAGTAGGTGCATCAGCACGATGACGAGGACGATGGGGCACGGCTCGGCACGGATGGGGGGAGCTGTTTTGGGGCTGCAATTTATTTATGAGGCTGCTGTGTTCATGAATATTTCGGTTGGTGGCTGCTGATGTTGGTTGAATGCCACTCCAGTACCCTTCTTTACCTTCGACTTTCATTCCCTTCCGCACTGTACGCTTCGTTTGGTTTTGGTTTGTTGTTGGGTTGGGTTGGTGTCCCTGGTCGTACCTAAAACGAGTTTTGTTACAAAATGGTGCACTATTGATTGTTACCTCAGCGCATTGACGTGCGAGACTCCAGGAGGGGGGTATATGTATACTACATAAGTGCGATTGGAAATATTGGGAAAATGAGAGAAAACGCTACACATTGGTGATCTATGCCCCAGTTACAAGTTAACTTAATTTGGGAATTTTAAATGTTACACGATGAGCACAACAAATTGAGTAAAATGTGGGAAATCACCAAATAATATTCACATTCTTATATGCAGAATGGGGGCTGGTACCTAAGTAATATTAGCAGCTTTTAATGCTAAGGCCGCAAAAGAGCCGTGTGGAGCTCCATAAATAAATACAAGACACATTTACCAAACATTTACGTTGTTATTAAGTCATTATGTTCCATGCTTATGCTTAGCCCTGAAGCACGAAGATGGGAAGTAGCCGAAGGGTCGAAAGTATTTTGAATTATCTTTTTTCTGCACTTTCCCACAGTCACTAACCATACAGTATGGTTAGTGCTCCAGTTAAGCAATTTGGGACTCTTTAGAAGCAGTTAATATGCCACTGGAGAATTTTGGCTGGCAGAGCCGGGTCTGGTCAGCAGATTGACCCATATGCAGTGGAACGCCTATTACGTAAAGGCAATTTCTGAGTCCAATTTGAACATGGCCTACTTGGGCAATATTTAGGCAGTTTTAATGCAAGAGCGTCGACAAACCATAAATAATTTAAAACTGCAGAGACGTGCAAAAAGTGACCAGACCAAAGGCCAGCGCTTATAAAAAAAGCAAGCGCAGCAATGGGAATGTATGGAAACAACTTTGAAACAGAACTCAGACCTGGCGGAGGAGGAGTCGAAATAGTCAGCAGCCAGAGAGCGCGAGTTGTTGTAGGGAAGCATGCTAAAGTCCCATTATGGCTAATAGGCCCGAAAGGAGCGAAAGGCAAGAGACAGCTTCCAGGCGCTGGTAGGAGGGGGTGTCAGGGTGCAATGTCACCGCACACCTCCAACGTTGGCCGCACCTTTTTTTCTGCCACAAATAAGTAGGCTGCAATTTTCAGGCTTTGCTTGGAACAGTCAACTGCGAAGGGCAACAGGAGAGCGGGTAGCTTCTCTCTAACATTCCGAGCAGTAATTTTTTTTCCCTGCCAGCTGTTGGCTCATTCTAAGCTGTGCCAGCACTTTCCAGCACTTTAGCGTCGCTTATCCTAATTGTGGTTTCACTCGTATTTGTATGTGCGAATGAGTGTCCTGAGCTTCTCACGTCCAGTTCCGTGTGAATTCCTTGCACTGTGTGCATAATTTTTTGGCCTTCAGCCAGTTAATATTTTTGCGTGCTCAGCTCAACGGGGGTCGGCGGTCTGCCTCTGACTAGAGTTGACTATCTACTGCTCCTATCCGCAGTCCGCTGTGCAATGTGTCCTCACAGGACTACATTATCTGATATTGCTTTTGATCCGTGTTTCCCTCACATCCCACACAGTCTTGTTGTTTCTCTTTAGGTCTTTGATTTATACGATTTCTTTTTTTTTTTTTTGTTAAGATTATATATTAATTGAGTTAGCGGACAAGGATTAAACACAGGTTCCATAACATGTCATGGGCCCTGTCCTGACAATGACAATACCGGCCACTGATATAGAGTCTTTCGATGTCATTTGACACTACATAGTACAAGTATTGCAGAAAAAATGCAATCAAAATGAACATTTTGCTTGTTGAACTTGTTCCGTGATAATCATTTTACGCATTTTGCATTCGCGTCATTTCCAGCCGTCACGGTTGCGGTTTCTTCTTGTAGTTTTTGCTGCTGTTGTTTCTATCAGGTGTACAAATGACAGCGAAACCAACATCGAACACCAAAAACTCCATATCGGATGCTGCCCAATCAACTTTTTTACTGTATATGATGGCAGCAGAAATAAGAATGATGTCGGGTCCAGCAGCATAAATATCATTTGGAAGGTGTGTGCAGTGTGTGCAGCCTAAAGTATATTTGTACTATTTTTTTTGTTCACTGCTTCAAGAGTATTATCTGCGTCTGAGAGTCGCAAGTGTCAAGTACATACATATAAACATATTTTTAAATATATTGTAGGAGTATATACTTTTATATTAATTTTTAATAATTATTTTTAGTTTATATTGTGAGTGAAAATATTGTTAATTATGCAATACATATGTATGTATGTTAAGGGGTTTAAAAGTTTTAAGTTTTCCAATTCGTGTCGTTAAAATAAATAAAAAAAATTAAATTTCTTTTTAGACCCGTATTCTCTCTCTCCTTGCTGCGTGGCTCATTCTCTTCTTTGAGTTCCACCCACTCTACGATCTACGCTCCAAGTGAACTCTGGAATTACAGAGAAGAAATCAAGTCAAAAATGTTTCCAGTTACATTTGCACATATGTACATACCGTTAGCCTTAATTCATGTCAATCCTCCTGTAATAATCGGGTCGCTCCACCCCGTCCTCCGATTCTGTCTCGGACACAGTTTCCTCGCTGCTTTCCGCTTTTGCTGTGAATTTATGAGCCCCCCATCCATGCGCACGCATCAACTGGTTGGTTTTTTTCATGTCTCGCTGATGCCACTTTTCCTCGATCACCGTCTTGTCGTAGTTCGTTTGGAAGTACTTTACGTGGACGAATAGCGTGGGGTAGAAGCCTCTATTCGCCTTTTGAAGATCGATGTATACCGTGCGCCCCTTCATGGCATGTTGTATGCCCTTGAAGACTATGCCTGTGTTTACAAAGAACTCGAAGGTGGACCCTTCAGTGGTGCAAGAGGAGGATGCGCCTGTAGGGGTGGCCTGAAAGAAGACACTGGTGCCTCGTATCACACGTGTCCGGTAGGACATTCGTTCATCGACCATGGTCACCTGCAGATGGAGCGCGTCGAGGGTCTGGAAGTACTTGACGAGGGGACGCGATGCGCGTCGCACAACACGAGCAGCATTTGATGATGAAGCACCTGCGCAGGCGGATAGTGTCTCGCCTTTGGATTTATGACTTTTTTCTAGATTCGTCTGTTTTGGCTCTTCCTGCATGGACTCCTTGGAGCGCTGGACTGGGGCTTCCTCCGAAATTTGATGGGCTGTTGCCTTGCTGTTGACAGCCGTGTCTGTTTCCATTTCCTCGCTGCGATCCAGCGCAGCGCATCTCATAAAGCAGGCAATGAAATCGGCCATTGGGATCACCTTTGATACCGCACTGTCCGATTCCGATTCTGATTCTGATTCTCCAGGCATGACACTGCTCTGGCTCTGCTCGGCTTCCAGCTGGGCGTTGGTGGTCTTAGTCTCGTTTTCGCGCTCCAAGAGCATCTTAAGCCTCTGGTCCAATACACGCTGGACTCTGGCCGGCAGCTTATGGGTGTCCTGCTTTGACTGTGGGCTCTGGTCTCTGTCCTCGCTCTCGGCGATCTGCTCTTTGTGCTCATTTTTGGCCACACGTACAGGCTCACATGGGTCCTTCTCGTATTCCAGTTCTGGTGGATCTTTGGGGTGCTTCGGCAGGGGTGCATCCAACTTGATGTGCTCTTCGAAGAATTTCAGAATGTTCTCTTTGGTGCGGGCACATCGCTTGCTCATCTTGGCCTCGATCTGGGCTCTGAGGAGGTTCAAGTGCATATTAAAAGTCTTCACTGTCTTCAGGTATAGCATGGACACCATACATGTGGCGAAGATCGTGTGCGAAGTGGAGAACGCGACTTTGGCCTGCACGAAGTGCTCCTTGGGCGCCGTGTCCAGCCAGTCTTGAACCGTCTCCGCATCTTTGGCAGCCCAAATGCGCTCACCCATGTGATTAACCAAGCCCAGGAGACGCAGATCCATGCACAGTGGCGGCTCAGCGACGTACTCATCGGGGCAGACATGGAGCGACATGCACTCGGTCGCGAAACGACGTGTGCTACAGTCCATTGCCTGGACGACCACCATGAGGTGCGACTGGACCACATTCACGTTCTCAATGGGCGGCACACTGAGCACTCGGACACGCTCGTAGGAGTAGCCAGCCACTGTCGCCGGCTCAGCCTTCCACAGGCACACGGCTTGGTGTTGCGGTGGCCAGTAGCGAGGCGGCGGCTCCACATTCTCCCCGGTGAGGTGCAAGTTCAGCAGGGCAGGCAAGTTACGGTCGGGATCTAGATCGCGCCATTTGCCCTCCGGGGGCATATGCTCGTAAACGATCACACAGTAGTGTCCGGGGGAGTACACGTGCAGCACATTCACCTTGATGTCCCCCGAGCAGGGCATGGCCGATGAATGGCGATCTGCTTCGTGCAGATAGTGACGATCCACGCACCTGGTATTCCGGCAGTCGCCGTGACCCAAAATCTCCCTGCATAGCGGCTTTACAATGCTTTTCCTTGTGTTCATCTCCTTGCGGATGCGTGCAGCCATTGCCACAATATTGGGATCCAATTTCTGGCGGAGCAGCATCAGGTCGACCAAGCGGGGCAGCTGCCTGGCGTTCGCCTCATCCAAGAGGACAAGCGAATCCAGGATCCTTTGATCGCTGTTGGTTGCTGTTGGCTGCCGGGCGGCTGCCTTGGATATCAGGGCATTGGGCACATTGTCGGATAGGAACAGAAAGCGACGCTTGAACTTGCCCCATGAGCTGCTCATGCTGTAGTGGATAATGGTGTGGGCGTTGCGTACTCTCAGCTCGGGACAGTCGTCGGTGCAGACAAGGATCACGCCTCGGCTGTCACACGTCCAGCTGCTGACCTTATCGAGTTGCTCCAGATCCATGGTCTGGTAGTAGGCCAGGCATTGGTACTCGAAGTCCGCCAGGTCTGCCAATAGCAGGGCCATTTGCATATCCGCATCGCAGAAGATTATGGTGCGATACTCCGCCGGCGGGCGCTGACGAAGCAGCTGCACGATCGCAGCTACCCTGTCCTTCGCCCCGACCATGTTGACTAACAATCGCATCCCGCCATAGAGAGCAGCTTCCAGGAGATCGCCAAAGATCAGGCAGGGATGCTGATTGAAACGGCGCAGCTGGGAAATCAGGGACGGAGTGAAGTGCTGGCAAACCGTCACCACCTGCGGACGGGGATAGTGATGGGTGCCCTTGCGTGTTGGCCTGCCGTGTTTGGCCGCCATGCTTGGAATGTACTGCTCGGCCAACTCCAGTTCCTCCTGCTGCATTAGGTCCGCGTCATCGAACACCACTGCCTGCAGCTGATTCAGCTTTAGCAGGCCTTCTCCTTGCTTGCACGCGTTGACAAATCGGGCGGGGGTGGCCACCAAGACGCCGATTTCGCTGATCCACGCACCCATGAAAGAGGGCGTGCACTCCGAGGGAACGGTCAACACCTTCGTCACCTGAACGGTCCACATGTCCTCGACGGTCTCTTCCCTGGGCATGAGCGCACTGCATAGCGCGGCAACCTGCTCCATTCGCGGCAAATCTGGCACTAGAATCAGGGCAATGGGTCCCATTCCATGCGAGATATCGAATAAGTCGACCGCCATTTCTCGCCTGTGTCGATTCGCGGCCAGGATCGTGCTGGCAACGTGACAAATGGGCGGCACATATCCCATCGTGCGGCCGCTGCGTGGGGCACTCACAATGAGGGCACCGTGACCCGGCCCATTGAGCAGATGCGGCCAGGCATAGCTCTGCAGCCGCTGCAGACGGTTCAGGCCCAGTTCTCTCATCCTCTGCAAAATATCCGGCAAAAGGGAAACCTCCGCGAACGTGCGAAACGGTGTCACATTTACAGTTGCATGGGCCACGGCATAATCAGAGCAGTTCGACCCTTCAAGCGGCTGCAGAATATCCTCAAGGTTGGGCCATTTATTTTTCTCGCTGTCTGACATTTTGTTGGGGCTGATCGCTTTCGGGTTGCCGCTGAAATTCACCGAGTTTTCTTCTTCTTAATTACACTTTACACTCTGCAAAAATTGGCGGAAGTAGGAACGGACGAACGATGGCACTATCGATAACACCAATGGTTTTGGAAACTGCGCGATAGATCGCTGGCTTTTGCGTCCATCGATATATCGTCTGAGAGAAAAAGTAGGATATCGCAGAATGCAGTGACGCGCACAACTAGCATTAACAAAAAATAGAAATTAAAGAAAAAACATCAAAATATACCGATACAATTTTTAATACAATTGAAAATACATCTGCCTCGCTACTTCTCATTTACTAGAACACAATTTTGATTCGAAATAATTCTGATTCTGATGATTTATCTAGGATGGGGTTCATCGGGCGGCAAAGCTGATAACAGACAGAGCCGATGGCTTGAAGACTAAGGGTTTCGGCTCACACACTGCCTCCATCAACGCACGCTTCTGGAGGGCCAGATCCTCCTCGGCCAGTGATATCGGAGTAGGCAGGATACAGTAGCCTCCTTGCTCCATCTGCAGGAATCCAAAGCGAACCCCCTCTTTGAGGGTGTGAACTACGGTGTCGTAGGCCCCATTGGGAAGCACGGTGCACTGGGGCGGCAAGCATAGCATTAGTAGGATACCCCAATAGATGATCTCTCATCAATGTACTCACGCCAAGACGCATCATCAGCTGGGCCATTATCTCCTCTAAGGTGGCAACCTTGTTGAGATCGAGAATGGCTTGGGTAATTATCTGCCCGTTCTGGTTTAGTTTGCCGGTACGGGAGGGCGTACGGCAACTTGGTCGCGGGTGGGGGCAGGCGCAAATCGCGTTTTCGATGTCACGGGGCATCGCCACCCGACGGCGCTTAGCAGCACGGGAGGCAGAGCGCGGGGGATCCGCGCTGCGTTTAGCTGCGCGAGATGAACGTGCCGATTTGGGAGGCTGCTCCGGATCCTTCAAAATAAGTTTGGCCTTGGACTCTGCGCGCGAATTGTTGCGAGAGCGTGGCTGCACGTTATCCTCCTTGCTCCCCTCTCCCTTCACCGTTTTATTCTTCGGAATCACCATTTTCAATCAAAAATTACAATCCCGATTACTAAGCGGAACAAAAAAAGTTACGAATTATTTTTGACGAGTAGAAAAATGTATAGAATTAAAAATTGTTTCTATTGGAGCGGGAGATGTTTACACTTGGAACGAGAACGACTAACTGAAAACCTACTGAGGAGAGCTGAGAAACTAAGCTACAAATATTGATGGAGAAGTCAACGGCTACTTTGGGATTTATTTTATGCTTGCTATGAACTATGAGGACATTATCAAAACTTTTGTATTGAAGTAGGCGCTTGTTTCTGCTGCTCAGCTTTTAGTACTCTGTGGTTGGACGTAAAATTATATATTTTGTGCATTAGTATCAATAGTCACTTAAACAGCAGTAGTCTGTACGTCCTGGACTTACAACTATCTCTCTCCCAGGGTGAATTATCACTTAAGGGTTCGTTTGTATGTCGAGAAAATCCTCATAGAGAACGCCCATCTCAGCCTTCTCCTTTTACTGATTTGCATTGGGTTTCTTAAATGTTTACATTTAAGCGGGCGTATGGGTAATATTTTGCTTGGTATATGTGGAGGATGGAGAAAAGTATGATAGTGGAAAAATAATCATGACCAATTTATAAAAATAGCAAATATCCATTAAAGCCCAATATATTTCAGCTGTTCAAAGGGTTCCTAAAGTCGTGAGACTATGGAAAATATAAAAGTAATTCACAATAATAAAATCATATTATCTGAAAGATAACGCTCTCCTTTGCTATCTTTTCCTTTTTAATTTCAGGCCACCTTAAACTGTGCTTTGATGCTTTTAAAATTTTTGTAGCTTCGTATAAATGAACGGCTTTTGTATCAAAAAAATTTTACAAATGCAACCAACCCACATGCGTATAAACATATTTATGTGTGTGTATATTTGTATGCATGCCACACCGGAAATAAGAAAGCACGCGGAAAATGTGCACCTTGCTCTTTTCATCGCAAAGTTTTCGGTTTCTGTTTGGTGTTGTGCTTCGCAAGCGATAACTCTCACTCTCTATGTCTCTTTCACTTTTGCTCTGTCTTGTCGCACACTACGTATACATAATGAAAAATTATTTACATTTTGTGTTTTTTATCTGTGTGAGAGAGAGAGAGAGAGAGGGTGAGAAGGAGAGATGTGTGCCACACTTTGTCTCTTGTAACCCTTTCCAGAGCAACTTTTAATTTTTCTATGTGACATTCGCTTTTCTCTGTTTTCCTTTTGCTTCTACTTCTAGTTCCTTTTGTATGGTGGCTTTTAGACGAGAAGAAGACATACACAAAAAGGAAAATGATGTCACAAAAAGTGAAAGCAGAGAAAAAATAAGAAGCTGCGTTAGGTGGCTACAGGTGCAAAGGTAATAAAGAAGTGGCCGTGGCCGACAGCTATTTTTCGGTCAACAGCAGAGGTAGATGCAAACCTTGTTCGTCATAAGCGACGTGGGGCATTCTCTTAGCGTTCTACCTGTACGATTATCACTAAGTTTGTTCCTGTCACAACTTCTTCTTAAAGAGAGAGAGAGCACGAGGGCCACGTGTTTTTCGTTTTTAGCCTTTTGTTTTGGTTTTTGATATTCCGTTTTCTTTGCTATATTCTCTTTCACAGCTGCTTCGGAGATTTCCACCCACAGGGCCACCCTCTTCCTCACATCCCTGCTATCTTCAAGCGACGTCTTCGTGTCTCGTGTTTTGGCCAATTTTTCAAAGAGAGTTTGCTGCCCTTTTGCCTAGTGTTGATTCGCTTAGGCCTTCTTAAAGGCAAAGGATAAGGATGCCGCTTGACGATACTATTCTTAGTGCGGCGCAGGCGTAGGAAGGAGCAGTAATAAATGACTAGCTCTTAAGCTTTAATTTTCAATTAGAAATCGTCTTCGATCGTAGCTGGATTCTTCCTCAAACTCACTTGATTAGCTCTGAAGCTGATTCGGTGCGACTCCCAAACTAAGCCCAGGGTGGGTTAGTGTTAGCCAGCCATCGAAGTGGTTACATGGGTGGCATGCATCCTGCCCTTTCCCTTGCCTAATCCCAGACCCACAGCCACTCTCGGTCAAGCCCCATCCCTCTAACTCCCTTCGCTATCTCGCTCTCGAACAGATGTTTTGTGGCGACTTCGGTTCTGAAACCGAAGTCGTGTTTTGGCCTGTTCCGAATCCCATTTTGTTCCACAGCCGCCTGTTTGAACATGCTGCCACGGCATCCTGCCGCCTCAGTTGTGCCGGAGTAGCCGCTTTGTACGCATTCCTCGTTGCTCATCCTGTGCGTCGGTTTCTTTGTCGCCTTCTCCGTGTTTTGGTGTACGAGTTTCCGTCCTCTTTGTCCTTGTCGCCGTTACGCTACCGATAGATAAAGTTCTTCGCTTTCCACGGTTCATATCTAGGATTTGAAAGAAGGTACACAAAATATAATGTAATGAAAATATTATATAAATAAAATGTAACGATAATTTGTTACTAGATCTACAGCTTTGGCTGTCCAAAAAGTTAATTTTAAAATTTCTGTAATATATTTTACTCTGTTGTTGCTTCGTCTTCTTGGATCTTCATCTAGCTGTGTGCCTAGCGTGCTACATATTTTATAGTAAAATTCTCTAGATTTTATATTAATGCCAGTGGCAGTGTTCCATGGAGAAAAACAGCTGGCCTGCCACTGGCATTGCCTTTTTCTTCTGTATCTTTTGCTCAGTCAACTCCTCTGTCTCATGTGGTGACTTTTTCTTCTCTGCTTTTCTATCGTTTTTTATAATATTTACTTATCTGTCTGGCTCATTTTTGTGTGTTTGGTCTTGCATTTTAACGGGGGCAACCGCACTCTCCCACACTCTCTACCTCCCACACTTATGCAAATAATCTTACACACACGTTGAGAGAACAGTTGTTGGAGCAAGATAAGGCGTGACTGACAAGTGCAGGCCTCATCCGAAAAGTGCCTGCCATGCCCTGCGATGCGGTGCAGCATTCTACCCACATCACTCAAGTCAAAAAGAAGGAAAAAACTTCAACTAGATGCACATAAGTATAAATTGTATTCTATATAACGCCAAAATGTAGGAGTACACACAAATAAACTATGTTTTCATTAAGAGAATTTATTTCTCAGTAGCTCTCTTCCTTTGGGTCTTGCTCCTATCCCCCATCTTCAGTTCCCCTGATACTGCCACATATTTGTCCCTCGCAGTCTCGTAGTGCCTGGTGTCCTTACAATCGACACCTCTAACCACCTACATCAAACGGACTAGCACGGTTTTGTGTTGTCTGCTCGGAGCATTTAAGCTTTTGCCTACAACTTTTGCCAGCGCTGCTGTTTGCCCAGTAAGGACTCATCATCTGCTCGACTTTCAGCTTTGTTTGCCTGTGGCTGTGGCTGACTTCTTGTTTTTGTCAGTGTCTGCTCTTTCTCTCTCTATTTACAATCCTTAGACACTTTAGTGTCCTCTTTCCCCAAAGGCGACATTTCGCCAGGAGGAAAAAGGAAGGAGAAAAGTGGAAATTTGAAAAAAAAATTTGCTGTCCTGCCTGCGTGATTCAAAAGCTTCTAATTATCCCACAAGTTACAGAAGGCACATAGCCGATTTTTTAACTGAAAGCGGTTTCCTTTGCTGCTGCTAATTGCAGAGTTTGTTGTCTCTGCCTCCGTTCATAATGTGAAAATTTATTATTTCTGTATCTGTCAATCGAATTTTTAGCCAATATTTAAGGTAAATATTTATAAAGTTTACAGACGCTTCAGACGCTACCCATGGAACAATTCGGAGAGCAATCATACCCCACACACCCTCTTTCTCTGGCAGAGTTTCCACAAACTACGTAGCGACGTCAGCATGTGCCTTTTCCATGTCTGTGGCTCATTTAACCCGCTGTCAGAGCTCAACTTTTTCTCCATTAGCTCCGTAGTGCAGTTCTTGACACATTTCCCCCTTTGCCGCGAGAAACAGAAAACCCCCAACTGAAAAAATCACTTGCAAATTCAGTTTCAGTCTGCTTTGTAAGTGCATAAGATTTTCATACATAACTTTTTATGCTACTATTTGTGGTTGGACGTGGTATTTAGCGTGTGTGTACTTGTGCCATTTTATTTTATTTCCATTTGACATTTTTTGTATGGTGCATTGTGAATTTTCCGTTGCTTTCCACGCTTCTTTTGATTCTTGCTCTTCCTGCTTCTCGTCCTCTCGCGTATTTCACTCTCATTCACTCTCTGTATATATCTTAATACAAGCTCATTTTTAACTTGAAAACTAGGCAAACGCAAGTTGCACTTTACCGCAGCCTTGGATAAAGAATATTTTGAGAAAGACCATACTTAGAACTGAAGCCAGAATTTACATTTAAGGACATTTTCAGTAGTAGTCTCGGGTACTTACATACTTCCTCCTGATTTTTTTTGAGTATATTTTGCTGTTTTTTTATCAGTTACCTTTTTACCTTACAGGTGGACATTTCTGTTGAATTATTATTCAATCGCCCTCCTAATTAGTTTTCCTCTACCATCTTTGAAGCCTAGTCGCGATTGTTTTTCCCTCTGCTGGGACTGGGACTCACTTCCGTTGCCTCTGGGGAAGCTTTGCCTTTGCCCGAGACTTGAGAGTCACTTGATAATGCTGCTTGCCTCCTGATATACACAGAAGGACCACTGACCTTTGTCCCTTTGGTAGACCCTTTGGTAGACCCTTTGGACTCTCTACTCTTCATATAAAAGCAGTTGGAAAAGTTACGCTTAATAAATTCATCAACAATTTGGGATCTGTCTGAAATTTGGAAACCATCTTAAATATGTTATTCTACTTTTGAGTCGATTCCCCATTGTGGTTGTCGTGGTAAGATTATAATCTTTATGTAAAAAAAAAAAACCTAAGCGACAAATAAGCAATGAAAATAAAATAAGCTGATGGAATGGGAAAAAAGCGAAGAGGAATGGAGCGGCGCATAAATTATTTGGCCTGAATTGGCAATTATTTGTTGTAATTTATTGTGTTGAGAAAATTATAAATTGGCCATGTATTTTTTTAATACGAAAATAATTAATTTTATTTCAGAGATTCCGTTTTGTCCCTGTCAGCTTTGCAAACCTTTATAATGCATAACACAAGAACAGACATGCAGACACATGTACAAACATGTCCACACACACACACACACACAT